ACCTCCCCGGCAGCCTTGCCCATCCAGAGAGCCCCGGAACTGATACATCAGCAGGCATGGCCTCTGGCAGCCAGGGATCCCGGCCCACGTCCCAGAATCTCTTCTTCCCCCTGTTCCTAAGTTAACTTTCCCACACGCCCATCTCCGATCCTCTGTGAGGCTTTGCCTTCTTGGGGCTGAAACGGCCCCTCCGCCATTGGCCCGCCGACTGCCGGCCCTGCCCCTCTGTCCGCCGGCCCACCGCCCGCTGGCCCCGCCCCCCCGCGCGCCCGCCCGCCGGCCCCGCCCCCGGTCCCGCCATTGGCTCGCTGGACGAGGCTCCGCCCACCAGGGGGCCCCTTCCCGCGGCCGAGGGGCGCCGTCTCTCCACCCGCAGGTGGGGGCGGGAGCTGCAACCCTGGCAGCACGTCCACTCGCCTAGCCGTGCTTCTCCGGGTGCTCGCTCGTTGGCTCGCCCATTGCACGTTCCTTGAGCTTCTGCGGGGGTCGGCGTGGAGGGGCTGGGCCGGCCTCCCCCGCACGCAGCCTGCGTAGCCCGCAAGCCTGTCTGTCAAATAACGATGGTCTGGACTCACAGCCGGACTTGGTCATCGATGGCTGTGTGATCTTGAACAAGTTACATATGCTCTCTGTTCATCAATGCCCCTGTCTGTGAAAGGGAAGTACAATGAGTCTAAGTGCTCAGGACATCAAAGCGTGACCCAGTAGAGTGTGTAAGGGGGTGGACGCGTAAATCCAGTCCCTGCCTGGCCACCCCTTTGGGGAAGGTGGCGTCTTCTGTTAAGACCCAAGAGAAACACAGTGCTCTGTCCTGGCCTCCTTGAGCCTGGAAGTTAAGGCAACGGCCAGGGAGGGCCCAGCGTGGACTTTGGAGCCACATAGCCGCACTCCCTAATAGGCATCATCATGCTTATTAAAGTCGAGCTGGGAGCCCCAAGAACAGAGGAGGCTGGAAATGCTCTAAGTACTTGGCCCCGGCTTGCCCCTCTCTCTGCACCCCAGGGCAGTAGGTTCATATCATCTTGGCTCTGGCTTGTCACCACCCTGTGGCATTATTTCTGGACCTCTTGCATTCTGAGAAACAGGTCCTTCCCTACACCTGGGACTTTGCCACCTGCTTTGCTCTGGCTCAGCCAGCTCTGTGGGCAGACAGGCCCCTTCTGGCAGGCTGGGCCGGGCTCTTGCAGACACTGGGCAGTGGCTTCCCAAAAGGCCTGTCCCTCTGCTCACCTGATTGCCCTGACTTGTCTGTTTTCTTGTAATAAAGCTGGGTGGCCTCACTCAGCCTCCTGCAAAGGCCTGTGGGCATAGGAGAGGCCTTTGCAAAACTGTGGTTTCTACCCTCGGGATTATTTAGGTACCACCCCGTTGGGGAATAACGGCCTGGCAGGAAGATAGAGGTCATATTCTCCAACCCTAAAGGGCATAGTTTCTGATTATAAGCAGCAGGTCACACAGCCACAGACCCCCTGCTTCACCCTGACTCCCATGCCCCCAACACCAGTGTGGCAGGCCCACCAGGGTATGCCCCTGGAGAGGCATGGGGTCTATGAACTCTTTTCCGTGTTTCTAGAAGCCTCCAAATATTGTGCATTTTCTGCTGATAAGGCCAGAAATCCTGACCCAAACATAGGAAATGATAACGCAGCTGTACTGAGTTGGCTTGTGTGCCCCCCCCAAAAAAAGATATGTCCCTGTCCTAACTCCTGGTGCCTGTGACTGATTTTATCTGGAAATAGGACCGTTGCAAATGTGATCAAGTTTTGAGGTCATACCAGATTAAGGAGGGCCCCAATGCAACGGTGGTGTCTTCATAAGAAGAGGGAATTTGGACACGTCGGCTAGGAGATACAGAGACACAGGGGGAAACACCGTATGAAGACAGGAGCAGAGATGGGGATCCTGCAGCCTGGCACCCAGAAGGGCAAAGGGGAAAGGGAGAATATGGGGTGGGGGGGGAAGGGCACAGGAAGGCCTGTCCCCACCCCGCCCTCCATTGGTCTGGTGGCACTGGCTCGAGTGACAGTGGTATTTCCTGTCTGTCCTAGGTGACTGTGGCCAGACTCTGGCCCCACTCTACAGATGGAGAAAGTGAGGCCCAGGGCCCAACCTTGCTCTGGAGGCGTGAGAATCACCACCCAACCAAGGAACAAAGATTCAGCCTTGTGCTGTTGGCCATAAATGGAATGACCTGAAGAAGGGCCCTAGTGGGCCTAGAGGTCAGAGAGGACTCAGTCTGCTACTCAGGGCACCGACCAGGGCGCCAAGGAACATACTTTGAGTGACTCAGCAGTGACTCAGGAGAAGGCAGCGGATGAGGAAACAGCTAGTCGTCCCCCAGCTAGGAAAACAGCTGGGGCGTCCCAGGGGGCGATAAGCCGCTAGGCATCCCATCCCCTTTACCATGGGGACCCGGGGCCGGGAGCCCCGAAGGCCTCAGCACGGCCGGTCCATGAAGGCGAGAAAGATAGCTGGCAGTCCCCAGCTGAGCAGCCCTGAGCCAGGCGCCCCTGGAGCGTCTACACCCACCATGTCCTCCGGCTCCCGGCCAGGTGCCCTCATCACAGAGGGGGAAAGGACAGGAGAGAGGGGGTTCAAGGCTCAGAAATGAAGACACTTATTCCTCATCCACACAGGTGGGAGACAGACAAGCCTTAGTGTCCTGTATTTGAGGCGGGATTAACACCCGTCGCATGTCCTGCGGAGGAGGCGTCGGGGAGGCCGTGTCTGGAGACCGCATCAGGAGCTGGGCTCCCGGGTGCGCTCCGTGAGTGGGCACCATTCTGGGCCTCGCATGACTTCACCTCCAAGCCCTGAATCTCTTCTTCCCCCTGTTCCTAAGTTAACTTTCCCACACGCCCATCTCCGATCCTCTGTGAGGCTTTGCCTTCTTGGGGCTGAAACGGGCAGAGTCATGCGTAGCTCAGGGGCTGGTGAGAAGCCAGTAAGATGACCTCGCATAGCAGCACTGTTCTCGACAGCCGAGAGGCGGAAACCACCCACGTGTCCATCCGCGGGTGGACAGATGGGGGTGCAGCCTCCCAGTGGGGTATTCTACCCAGCCATGGAAGGAATGAAGCACAGAATCACTCTACAACGTGGATGAACCTCGAAAATGTGATGCCGAGTGACAGAAGCCAGACCCCAAAGGCCACGTCTCGTGTGATTCCACTTCTAAGAAACGTCCAGAGTGAGCAAACCCCTAGAAACCGAAAGTGGACGAGTGGTTGCCAGGGGCTGGGGTGGCGGGCGTGGGAGGAACGGGGAGTGACTGATTACGGGTGTTGGGGTTTCTGCTCGGGGTGATGGGGATATTTTGGGAAGAGAGGTGGTGGTTGCACAACATTGTGAATGTACCGAACGCCACTGAACTGCTCACTTAAAAACGGTCAGGATCATTTTGCAGATCTTACACACACAATACAACTGCAACCCTCCCGCCCCTCCCTCCCTTCCTTCCTTCCGGTGAAGTCAAGTTTGTGAGCGAAGGACAGAGACCGAGAAAGCTGCTTGGAAGCATCTGGTAGAGGCATTCTGGAAGGGAGTGGGAGGGCAGGCCAGGCCAGAACTCCCCAGGCTCTGTGTCCCAGGCCAGGAAGGTGGCTGGGTTGAGGCTCCTGAATGGCTGTCCCAAGACCTGTGGGCGCCAGGAGAAAGGCCAGGCAGGGCCGGGTCCCCAGATGCTGGGGCGGAAGCCAGAACAATGGCGTCCCCCGCATTTGGACCCCTTCCCGAGAGGTTCACATTTTCCATGGAGATAGCACTCATGAGAACTGGCAGGGAGAAGAGAAAGCCAGCGGCCGGGTTTCCCTGGCGCCTGCTGTGATGTGGCTGGATGACGCTCCCCTGCATGGCCAGCCCCACGCCCACTCCCTGCAGACACCTGGCTCTTGGGTCCTGGCCCACGGGAAAGCCTCGGGAGCACTGCTTTCAAGGTGGCCCGGTGGAGAGATACCAGCTGGCGTGGTCCCTGAGGGGTCCACAGAGCGAGCCAAACACAGACCCAGCCAGAGTGAGGAGGTGAGCACCCCTCGCTTGTCTGGAACCACCTCCCCGGCAGCCTTGCCCATCCAGAGAGCCCCGGAACTGATACATCAGCAGGCATGGCCTCTGGCAGCCAGGGATCCCGGCCCACGTCCCAGCCTACAAGCCTCGTCTTGCTCAGGGCCTCCTTACTCCGTGCCCAGTGCGCAGCACTGACAGGGCTGGTCTCCCGGCCCGAGGCTGATATGAGAGAAGACTGGCACCCAGATGGAAAGCAATCACGGAGACACCCTCCCCCCCCGAGGTGGGGCGATTTCCCCACAGCCCCTCAGCCCAGCCCGGCAGCGAGGTCTCACTGCAATGAGCATTGTGCCAAGAATCACGGGAGGGACCTGGGGCTCCTCTCGGGCTTGGTCCGCCAACTACGAGCCCTTTGGAAACCCGTGTCACCCTCGGGGGCTTTATGCTCGCTAAGGCCTGCGTCCCCGTTTTACAGCCGGGAAGACGGAGGTTCCAAACCGCAACCCTGGCTCATCAACAAAGCAGGAAGCTGCATTCACTGGCTCTCCTCATGCAAGGAGCGAGATTACATACAGGACACAGCACAGCCATCCGCACAAACACGCCGGGCCGGAGCCAGATGGCTCATCTTTGCAGCCCACGAGGGAACCGTCATCACTCCCTCATGTTACACACAAGGAAACCAAAGCCCAGAACATGAAGCTGCTCTCCCTGAGTCCCAAGCCAGGAACCTGGAGACAGCGTTACCCTCGTGGCAGGCACCACGGGGCCACTGGGTAGTGAACAATTTGTCCTGGTCCAAGTTGAGGTCCGGCCTTTGCCTTCAGCTCCAGGGAGATCCACGCCATGTCTGGTGGCTGTGTCTTTGTTTCGGGCGGGGACTTACCACATCAGAAAGACCGGCCGTGTGGTTTAGGATGGGGGCTTGGGTCACACAGCGTCAATAGACCTGGTAACCATGTGGGCAATCCATCCATCCATCCATCCATCCATCCATCCATCCATCCATCCATCCATCATGCCTACGTAACAGAACCCACACACAAACTGTGGACGCTGGGGCTGGGGTGGGCTCCCCTAGCTGGCCACAGTCCGTGTCTTTGGTCACACGTCAAAGCCGGAGGGCCACACACCCCGAGGGCAACAGGAACCTCGCCTTGGACCCCTCCCGGACGGCCATCTTGCGGTGCTCCCTTTGGCTGATTTTCCTCCTTTGCTGTAATGAACCGAAACGGTGAGTCCGTGAGTCGTTCTAGGGAGTTCTTGAATCTCTGTGTGGTTTGGGGAGCTCTCCAAACTTGTGACAGGTGAGGTGAGAAACAGTGCCCTCAGACTCCCAGCTGACCCCCTGTCACACTCGGGTCCCGCTCACCTCTGCACGAGAGGGATGACCACCACCCCCGTGTCAGGAGGGGGAAAGAGGGCTCAGGGAATCAGTTACAGACACAAGACGGAAACCCCTGCCTCCTGACATTTCTGGTCTAACTCTGTCTGCCGTGCAGCCCTCCAAGTCATGGATTTTGGAAAGGCCAGCGTATGACTTACTTACGGCTGCAGAACGAGCCGCCCCAGAACTCGGTGGTTTAAAACAACCCCGGCCCTGTTTGTTCACGGCTCCGGGGGCCAGCTGCTCGGGGTCAGCCGGGCGGCTCCTGGGCTGCTGTTGCCCAGAGTCCCTTGCAGTCACGGGGCAGCTCCGCTGGTGCTGGACGGTCTCGGATGGCCTCGTTCGGGGCTGGAGGTCGGCGCTGACTCAGTGGGCCCCACGGCTCCAGCCATGGCTATGGCTGACTTCCTCCCTGGTGTCTCGGGGAGGCTGGGGAAGACGAGCCCTGAAACACATGCACTTGTATGCTCCTGTCCCATTTAAGAATGCTCCGTTGGCCAGAGCCAGTCACAGCCAAGCCCAGAGACAATGGTCAAGATGGAACCAGGCATGGACACAGGGAGGCATGGACACAGGGCCGTGGCCATGTCTGTCTTGACTGCTCGGGCTTCCAAAAGGGGGACAGATTTCTTCAAGTCCTGGTGCTCTCGAGGGATGTGCTCTGGTTGGCCAGGACACGCCCTTCCACCCTGGCGGGCGCAGAGGACAAACTGCACGTGAGCCGCTGGGACAAGCGGGTGTTTGAGGCGGCCGCACTCGTGGTCTCCTCCCGGCAGCTCGGGAACCTCGTCCCTGTCTCCAGGAGCCGCGGGAAGGGGACTCTGGCTTCAAAGCTGGTGACAAAGGCTGGCCAGGCGGCCGTTGGGAGGATGGACTGTCAATCACACCGTCCCCGTGTTCGGGAGAGAAGACGCCTTTCTGGGACCTTTGGAGCACGCCAGCAGTGAGGGGAGGGATCGGGGCCTCTCGCCTGGGGCCGTGGGAGGGCTGGGCTCTTCCTTCCCCTTTCTGAGCCCTGCTAGCTCCTCCCAGGCTTGGGCTGTCTGGTGACACTGTTCCCCTTCCAAGAGCTGAGACCCTTCGGCTGGGCAGCCTTCCAAGCCTCGGTTCCCCGCCC